TGCATATAAACGATGCAAAATGGACCATCTGGCAATTCACTGCGTATCTTGTGGTAAACATACCTCTTCAGCCGTTCAGCACTCACAATTGTTGCTGCAAATCATTTGAGAGTAGGTACCAAACGTAGTTATCAAATCATTACAACAAACGTAATTCAAAACAGCTTCATAATTATAGGCAAGACAATTGGCATTTTGTTTGTTCCTCTCTATTTTTAGTCGTATTTTCTAATTGCACATGACTTTTAGCGGTACACCTCAAGTGTAAGAACTAAACAGATCGGGGATCTGCGAGGAGTAACCACAGAACTGGTAAAAACTAAGAAAGTAGAGAACCATTGATATTACACAAACAAATTACCCGTAAGAAAAGTGTGGCTGCACTAAACCAATACATGGCAAGCCCAGACCAGACTCTAGAAGTGTCTAATTTAAAAATGAAAACTTACATGGATAGTAAGGCTATGCATATCAATTGTTAAGATATTTCATGATTTATACATTCGTGTGGAAAGTAAATCATCAGAATTCGACTCTCCAGACATTCGCATCGTTGAATTAAACAAATCACGCAGCCTATGCTCATGGTTATACTAAAACTTCTAATCCCATCCGGACTCTCTCACGTTCCACTATAATCAGGAAAGAAGGCATCCTTTTTTTTTTACCCATATATTATAGAACATCTGGTTAAGCCCCCGCCCTGCACTAAGAGACAAGGAAGTGAAAACCAACGCCTAGTTGAAAAAGGTTAAAAAAAAAAAAAAAAAACTTCAAATTCAAGGGTTTTCAACTAACAACACAGTTTTAATTAACGCCCTTCTTGAAAAGGCGGCGTAAAAGGAATGCAGGAGAGAAGTGAAATTGGAGACGAATTTGTTACCAGGATAATATTTGCCAACGATACGGAAAATCCGGTTACCGCAATTGTCAGAACCTTCAAGACGAAAGAAGTGTAAAAGATCAAGATCGGAGAAATCTTCGTCGGATGAAAGATGCTGAGCGCAATCATGCCAACTCTCTTGTTCTTCGTCGTGGTTCTGAGTGGACAAAAAGGGACGGGCATCTACACCTAAATCTGATGCCAACACTAACACTGAGAATTCGTCTGTTGAGCTACCCCCGCTCATCGCTGCCTTCTCGCCCCTCCTATCACTCCCACTAGGCACCAGCTATTTTCTCATTATTTTCGGGATGTGGTGTACGGACGATCTTTCAAGAAAACCTGTAAGTCTTTTCTTTTCTCTCTCTCTTTTTTTTTTTCCTTCAAAAGGGTGGGGAGAAGTTGGATGAAGTTGCTGCCTGCTTTTGAATTTTATTTTTAAAATAGAATTTTTTTCAAAAGAATTATAATCAGATCCTAAAAAAATATAATAACAATAATAATAAAACTAATTCCTGAAGTTCTTATTTCTTATTCTAAAGCTTGTCATTAAATACTGTTTAAATTATTATTAAAAATTTTTAGTAATTATTTTTCTTCTTTGAAATCTCATTGTAATTTTTCCTTCTTTTTTTTCTCTAGTTTAGACTTATTCATTCACAACTTAAAAATATTCAAAATTATTATACTCTTCCGGTCCTTAATATAAGACTTGTTTAACTAATTTGATTAGATTAAGAAAGTTAGGTAAGTTAGTTAACTATAATAAATATGATATGTTTTTTCTAAAATACCTTAATCATCTTCATTATATCCTTCCCGTCTCATACCTGACCATGATTGAGGGGTATTAATAAGGATTATTTGAAAAAAATTGATAAATATAAAAAATAAATATTATATTTAGGATCAAAATTAATTCTATAATTAGGTCCTTATCAAAGATGGGAAGAATAACATGTTTACATTTATCAAGTGAATGCGGGCCAGAAAAGGCGGGAGAATTTATAATTCTGGTAAAAGAATGAATTTACATTTATTTTTCTTAAAAAATTTATACATTAAAATCCCCACCTCCTCAACCAATGCCCAGATGGAAAAATTATTCGCTACTTTCGAACTACCGTCCATAATCATCTACATTCTAAAGTCCTAAATATAAAATTTAATTTGTCGTACTAGAGGTAATATATATTATATAATTGCCTCCGCTTGTCTTCTATTTTTTTTTTTACTTCACTTTATCTCTCCTTTATATTCAAGTTTTTTCTCCAGTAATTGTTCATCAGTTCATGGTTTTTTATTCCTATAAATTTAATACATTTACATTGATTTTGATTTTTCATCTACGAAGATAGCAATTTTCTTACAAGGACTTCTTAAATGTCGGCCTCAATGTTTCAGCGGGACCAAAAAATGTTAACCTCAATGACATTTAACGGTGCAAATTAGTTGGAGCCAACTAAATTTTATATGAGTTAACAAAAAAAGGGGAATCCAATCTAAACTGAGATCAGTTTTGTCCTTTAAAAATTATAAAAGTTCAACATTTTCAAAATTCCATTGGCCATTTCAATATAGATTAGCAATCCAGGCAGGGAAAATGATCGGACATGTAAAGCATAGGATCATATCATATACGGCTGCGGTGTAATGAACCTCTTCGAGAAATACAAGTCACGGCCGCCGATAAGAAGCAAAATGAGACTGACAAGAATGATAACCACCTCTCCTATTAGAGATAATACTGTTAGAGTCTATGATCTTGCTATTTATGAGACAAGCTGCGTTATTGATTGGCAACATTAGTTAATCCATAAAATTGTCCAAGGCTTATCCATTGTGAATATTGAATTTTTCTTAAACTAGCACCCGCAACAACTAAAAATTAAAAGATGACATCTGCAAAATTTAGGAGAGCTCACGGCTACGTTTAGCAGCAGCAACAACAGCATTCATCAGTGTTCCACGAAACCCACCTTTCTCCAACTCATGAATCCCAGTAATTGTTGTCCCACCAGGAGATGTGACATCATCTTTGAGCTGACCTGGATGCTTCCCAGTACCAGTGGCCATCGATGCTGCTCCTAATACCTGAATACGCAGCAAATTGCCTTTTTACTTTGTTTTCCCTCTAGCAGGAAAAAAAACCTAAGCACAACTGGTTTAAACGTAGCCTCATTGTAGGATGCCGATCAATAAGCTCTCAAAAACAAGCTACAGACCTTACTAGAAATTAGGGATCATAACAATTCTCAGGAAATATCTTTTGGCAGTAAAAGAAATAAGCCTTCTTTCTGGGGATAAATGTTTCTTGCATCGATGGAAGTAGATTTCTGATGTTAAAGACGAGATATTGGAACCAATTCTATAGAAAATTAGAAATAAATATAAACCGTAAGAAAAAGTAGAAAGTTAAGATATACTAAGGCAAATAAAGTGCTAACCATATGACTAAGGAAACGTTGATAAGTTGCAACAGCAAAATAAAACTGTACACGGTTGACATTATACTTTCGTTATGTTTTTATCATAGTGAATAGCTCTCCAGAAAATTTCCATTATGTTTGAAAATTGAATCATAAAAGAAAAAATAGTCACCCAGGAAGTTGAGATGACAGACCATTCAAAGAGGTAAAAAAACTACTCCAACCATATATGAGTTCCAATCTTTTTTTCATTCTGTGTTTCTGTTGTGGTAAGTGATGAGAAAAGAGAGAGAAAGAGGGAGACAAAGGGGGGATTAGGAGAAGAGAAACAGAGTGATTGACAGAAGATAAAAACAGAGAGAAAGGAAGACGAGAGAAACTGAAATGCTCTTAGGTTTATTCAACATTCAACAACTGAGTAAAATTAGGTTTAGGGGTCTAATTTATAACCTATGACCCTCACCTACTCCCAACGGCTATTACCTAGTAACAAACTTCATTTATTTATCATTATTATTCCATAACAAAATCTCTAGGAAGACTTGTGAAAGAATGAGTGATAGATAAAGCATATTTTGAACCACAAATGCGCAAATTTAATATGATATTTCATTTCTTAATTGATCAAAGGAGAGCACAAGAGTACTTACAGTTTGAGAAGCTAGACTCAAGGCAAGGTCTCTTGGAAGACCTGCAGCTACTCCACCATCTGCTAAAGCCTCTATAGCTAAATAAATATAAGCTGGACCACTGCCACTGAACAATTTCAGCAAAATAAGAGCATCAAAAATTTTGAAAAAGTAATCAAAAAGGACATTCTATTGGGGTAAAAAGGGGCATAACTTTTTCTCCCCTTTTTCCCTCGGAGGTATGAAAAAACACAGGGCTTTCTTTCTCCCCCTTTAGAAATTTAAAAATGCTCTGCAATTGTGAAGATAAATATCCAAATACAACCCACGTCTGGATAAAGTAGCGAACAAACCTCAGGCCAGTTATTGCATCAAAATACTTCTCATCAGCTTTCCATATTTTGCCAACTGATCCAAATAATTTGGAAATAAGGTTTCCATCTTCTTCTGTTGCAGCTCCTCCCAAGCTCATAACTGTCATAATTTAGGTTAAACAAGTAAACTTATTGATGCAGCTCAACAAACCATGACGAAGGACAGAAAGCCAATGGGAAATAATGGATTTTTCCTTTCCACAGAAACATGCTAGGGGAATAAAATGGAAGAAAAACAATCTTATAACAATGACCACAAGATTAACTCTGATGAGTTAATACACAAGAAATGATAATTAAATAACCTTTTATATAAGCCATACTTAATTATTTGTCTAAGACTGTTAACCAGTAAAATATGAGTCTGTAGCCATTAACCAGATCCATTTGGAGGTCTCCATCCCCACCCTTTTTAAAAGCAAAGAAGAAAAGGATCTCCGATTACAACAAACTACCGTGCTTAATCATGTTTAACAAGGTGTTAAAAAGCAGATCTGGATCTAATTCTCCATGGTATATTAGTAAATAAATATCTCCCTCAAACATTTCAAGTTTCTAACCAGCCAATACAGAAGCAGAGAGGGATCTCAATTCTGAAAGCCAGTAAGTTTCCAAGGTGGTGATGAACAGTATACTCCACTCAACCATACATCGGTAGTCCGTACTTAGACCATATTGAAATCCTTGAGTTTTCTTACCCCCCCCCCCAAAAAAAAAAGAAGTTTTTTCTTTTCCAATCAAAATGGTAAAACAAATATTCCATAAGCACTCATAGGGATAACAGAAAATATCGAATGAAACCAAAAAATAAAATAATAATAACATCGAAATTTAAAGCAGGAATATATTAAGCATTAAAGATCATATTGAAAGTCACATAGAATTAAGGAGTTTTATGTCATAAATTACACCGTACAAGGCGTCAAATCTCTGCATGGATTACGCAACTAAAGGACGGAACATTGATTAGCCATTGAAGAATACAATATTTAAGATACCTGATGCTGCCTCGCCTACAGCAGCAGGAGTATTAGGCATTACCCTTACAAATCGACTGTGGCCGGCCCATTCCTACATATGGAACATTTACTTCGGTCAAATGTTTCAACGGAGGCATTCTGAATATTCATAATTATTTTAGTAACATCCACAAATAGTTGGAAGTCACAACAAGTTTATCCGCCAAAAATGTGCTAAGACAAAGGATTAATGATCATGGGGAGAAAGGCATGTGACTGATATTATGACTGATATTCTTTCATCAATTGTTACTCCAATAAAATGTTGATGCTACCAATATATAAATAATTAGTTTAAAGCGCAATGAATATTCAGAATTTCAGAACCTGGAGATCTTTCAATTTCACCCCAGCAGCAACCGAGACCAGAAGCTTCTTCGTTGTAAGAAGTGGCCTTAACTGCACAATCACTTCTTTCACTGCATAAAAATGACAGTATCCGTGTTAAACATGCTAATAAACACAGCATATCAGCAATCCGACCGAGACAAAACGTTCAAAAAGAAAAAGAAACAGAGGGTTGGGACGCAATTTTGTTTATCGGCATCTCTGCACCATCTTTGATTAAAAACTGGAAAAGAGTATTAATAAATAACTCCAAAAAAAACATTTTGATTTACATCAGACACAATAACAAAGGAATTTCACGAATTACATTCGAGAATTCGAGAAAAAAGTGCTAAATCGGTAAGCAAGGCAATACCTACTTGAGGTTTCACAGAAAAAATGACCACATCACTGTCTTCAATCACCTGCGGTGAAAAACAGAAAGAAGTTGCAATTCGATTTGTAGAGTAAGAAGCACGAACAAATATCTGCGGAGTTCCGTTATTTAGGCAGGACAAAGCGCAAATAAGAAAATACGTCTTGATTGCGGGAGAGAACATTGACACCGATGGACTCAAAGGCAGAACGGCGAGCAGGATTGGAGTGAGCAGTGCGAATCCGAGAAGCGGGTAAGACGCCGGATCGGACGGCGCCTCTGGCAATACTCTCTGCCATCTTCCCTGCTCCGATGAAACCTACATTGTACTTATCCACCGAAATAGGAACAATCTCCATTTTTATCAAGAAGATTAAGAGCTCAAGGCTAACTCTGCAGCACTTCAGCTTCACCTTTCCAATTGCTCCACGCAACAGCCTCAGCTCTCACCAGTGAAGCATTCCCAAATGGCAGTGGAGTGAACTGGTGTGGATATTTTATGTGGAGGCTGGCATGCAATATAATATTTATTTTTTGATGGCTGGGGACTACGTGTCTACAATCAAATGGGTTGCGGTTTTTTTTACAAAAGAAAAATTATTTTTTCTTATAAAGATGAAATATTTAATTATTGCCCAGTTTTTTTAATTTGTCTATCTATTTATTATTTAAATGAAAAATAAATTACGGGTCAGATTCCTATGAGATATAAAATAATTAATTCAAAATATATTGATCTAAATATTTGTTTTCATCTGTCATTCTATCGTAATTAAGGGAATACCTAACAGATTAATCATAACCGGATATCTTATATACATTTAGCATCTATGACGATCATTATTTTTTCAGTAGCCTCTGGCCGTATACAATGATTGATGCATATCATAAGATTTATTTAAGGTTTTGAGGCCGCCGAGGGGCGGCGGATGAAAGTGGTAAAGGAGAAGCTACACCGTACATAAAAGCCTCCAAAAGTGAATTTTTCACCCTAAAATATACGCCTCACAAATTTTGTCGATAATCTAAATTATTTTTCAAAAACCTCGACCAATTCCTTTCTCTGCTTCATTGATCCCTCGCTCTCCATATTTAAGTATTCCAACATAAACGATAATTATTGATAAATATCATAAATAAAGACATTTCTTTAGAGAAAAATAATTTATGCCTCTGTAAATTTGCAAGAGGCTCTATAACAAGGATCACGAAAACCTTTAGAAGGTACTCCATGGAGTATTATCTCAGTCGAGGATTATTTTTCATAATTTAATATATTTTTATAATTATTATTGAATATTTTCCGGTGCAATAAAAAAAGATTATTTGGAGAGAGGTTACAAGAGTCGTAATTCGTAAATGTCATTATAGTCAACATATCCAAATGGTTTTATTGCTCATCTAATGTAATATTAAAAACATCGGTGCTAGATACTTCTGCTTTCAAATTAAATAGCATTGCCAGAGTTTTAGTTCTGAGTTAGAGGAGGTAGTTACTGTTTTTGAACGACCAACTCTGAAACTCAGGAAGCATTTGTATGATTTTGTGGGAATTTCTTTCCCATGTACAATGCTGATTGAACAAAATGGGCTTTTACCCCGTACTATTCATTAAAAAAAGAACATCACCAGCGTTTGGGTGCAAAATATACACATTTCTTCCCTAACATTGACTGAATTTGGAACTAATTAAAAGCACATGCAAACATAAATTAATATGTATTTGGATCATTCTATGCAAAAGTATAGGCAATGGAATTAGTGAAGCATAAGACTTCGACTTCCATTTTAAAAATATGCTCAACGTTTTTCTTTTTCTTTTTCTTTTCTGTTCTTTTCTCGTTTTTCGGCATCTAGACACACATCAGTAGGACAGCTTCCAGGCAAACCCAGGCAAAATCACACTCGCGGGTCAAAGGCAAGCAAATAATTTCAGAGTTCCATATTATCACAAAAATACATATTAGATACATTTCCAGCTTCTCACTCCGGTACGAAAGGGGGAGGGGGAAAAACCAACCATATCATGGCATATCAGTATTGGCAAGGGCTGAGTGCAGTACGTCTTCAAGATACTTCTCAGCAGCAGCATACTGCTGTTTCTTATCCTCGATTGCTAAGGCAGCCAAAGCTTTATCCTGCACCATCCCCACCAACACAAAATCATGAATAGAACAAATGACTAAAATGAAAAGTGCTTCTGAACCACAAGAAACTGAAAGATGACATACCGGAGGTAAGTCTTGGTAGCTCCTGAGAGTGTCAAGGATGGGTTGAGTTTTCTTCTCTAACTCCTTTCTATGCTCGGTCATTTCAACCAAAACACCATGGCTAATCTCAGGGGAATAACCCACACGATTAAGCATTGCCTGTGTCAACAGTTCTTGCGCATAAATTCATGAAATGAATTGGGAATGAATAAATATAAACCTACAAAGGTATTTCAAGTTTTGAACGAATGCAAAAAAAAAAAAAAAAAAGCAAATGTAATCATTCTAAATCATACGCCTCGCTGCCACTTTGGTAATAGTGTGATGCTGTTGAATATCGCTTGAAATTGTTAAAGGTCAAAACCAATTTACAATCTCCGTAGAATATTGCACTCTGGAGTCTACACTATGTGCTACTTCCATTGACAGCATAAATACTGTTTAGGAAGCCAAGTAATGCAAATCTAATACCAAGAGCTTTACATGTATGCAAGGGAACTTCTACCGACATGACAACCTAGAATAGCTCATGTGCTTGAGGCAGGAGTGATTGAAGGTTTTTTCTTTTCTTTTTAACCAAAGATTAAAGAATAACTCCAATCAATCAACATTACTTAAATACTTCCAATAACATGTGCTCTAGACAGTAGATACACAATAATCACAAAGGTTAACAAACTTGACCAATTCTAAGAAAAGTGACCTTCCCATCTTTCGCCCTTGTCCTTTTTTTCATGTTACGGGTAAAAACTCGTTGGTTATCAGTTATTTGCACCTCATTGTTCTGTAATATAACAATTTAAGTTTCTCCATGAAATTTTGGTACTTTATCCTTCTTTGTCAACGCTAATAGCCAGTAATTCAAATTTAATTTTTATTCTAGAAAAAAGGTTTACATATAAGAAGAATGCATCCCACCAAAAACAAATATATCCAGTGCTGTCTACTCTGGGTGTTAGCGATTTGTCTTGATTCCATAGCAAAAATTGTAAAGCAAGGACACCTTTACCTTGTAGTTGGCACACTGTTGCATGTACTGCCTTTCTTTTGCAGCCATTACTTGCAAGTTCGTTCTCCAGTTTTCCATTTGAACTTCACATGGAGCTACTTCATCTTCTAATTGGGCAAGTGTTCTGGATAAATCGTTTCACAAAAGTGAACAAAGAAAAAACAGAGCTTACCCTACAAAGGTTCCACATACGATCTTCACAAGAACAGTACTTGAAAAAACATCAAAAGCACGTACTCATCTGAAAGCATACCTCTTTAAATATGTTAGCCTGGCTATAGCTTTTCTAGTGAAATCAAGGAGAATCTTGGACTCCTTCAGTACTTTAGACCTCTTCTCCTCCACACCAGTCTTCCTCAAAGAAATATCAGCCAAAGCAACCAGAAAGCTGAAAACAGTTTCCACAGCTTAAACTTTGAAGCAGAAAAACAAGAATAAGTAATAAATCCAAGGATACTGAGTAAGGTGAAACATACCTACTTAGTTCAGTGTCTCTAATATTCAACAAATTCGCCACATTTGCAAGAACTTGCGTTGATGCAACCACATTTGAAGGTAGACTCTCTTGGGCCAATCCCACATTCTCCAATATCTCTCTAATCCTAGCAGCTGGACCAATAAAATTCACCAAACGGGGGGAGAAAAAAAAAAAGATTTCAATTTGAGAGCATCCCATAACTTCAGCAAAATCAATTGATCCTCGAATTTTGTTCATATAAAAATGGAGACCCAATCCATCAACTGCCGGACTAAACATCGTCATCTTGAAGAAATGCATAA